TTTCTTTCAGCAATTTCTCTCTGTAGAGGTATACTATTTGTATGGCAGGAGACCGCAGATGATTGAAAAATGTGCCTGTAGCAGATATGATTCAATAAAAGTAAGGTTTGATATAGATCATGTTTGACTACTTGATAGGTAGGTATGACTAGTAGATTTATTCATAGCTTCACCATGGAAAGCAGTCATTCTTAATTGTCTTCTTTTTCAGAATGTTTGAAGTATGAGAAGCTAGGGATTTTTTTTTCTGTATGACTCATGGAAACTAAGAGAAGTGTCCTGATATTGGTTCGAACTTTAAAATTCTTCACACCCACAGTTTATCAATCTTCATTTTACATTTTATGTTCAACCAAGGCAAACCAAAGATAGAAACAGATCAATCATGTATGATTCAGGAGTTTGGTGTAGTTGAATTTGGTCATTTTTTATCTAAGAGCATTCCTTTCTTTATAATATCCTTGATATTCTGCTTCCTCCAGTGCATTCCCTCATCTCCCTTGTTCTGGGTGCATTTTTCTACCAAGCAGATTTTCCATGTCCCAACCATGTCTTTATTCCTGTTAATATGCCATTTAGATGAGGAATCATCAGGTATTAGTCTTTGTATTCTTTGTCAGGCTTCAGATGATTATTCTTAGAGCAGGGTCATAGCTGTGTGCGAGCTGATTACCTGCATAGCTGCAATTTTGTTTCATGCTTTATTGCAAGAGATAAGCACGTTGCTTTGTGTGGTGCTGAGTCCCCAAGTCCTCTGGTATATCTGTACCTAGTTCTCATACATCTTTGGCTCAGATGGGTATAGCAGCAAAATTCCTTACAAATCCATCAGCTGAGTTCTCAATCTGACCATTGAAGGCAAGAGTTAATAGTGTTCAGCAGATGTGATCAACTGACATCAAAAGAAGTCATGGGATTGAAAAAGATAATAGATGCCTGTTTGAATTGTCCTGGTCTGTGAAAATGATGAGTAGTCTTCTGTTGAAAATTTGGCCAATGATTCAGTCAGATTCTATTTTGTCAAATATCTCCGTCCAGAACAATACCTGATGGTGCAGTGTCATGTGTTTTGTTTCTTTTCCAAGTGATGCTGAATCACTATAACAGACAGGATGCTTGCAAAATCAGCACATCATTTAAAATTCATATTCACTTCAAAATCTACCAGTACCCTTGCTCTTTCTTACAGTATCAGCTTTGCCAGGTATAGTTGCTAAAATTTCCCAGGAGAAAAGTGGAAACAAATGTATTGCTTATACGTCATCATCACGGTTCAGTTACTCAATACATTTTGGGAAGTAAGAATTTTATAGAATACAAATCAACAGAGAATACGTCTTTTTGGTAATTCAGTGGTTCAAAGCTATGACGTTCTAGCATTTGCATGAGTTATATTCATAATGCAGTTTTTAGAACTTAATACAAATTCTTAGATGGTGCTTACAATGCTATTAAAAGATGCTGGAACTATGAAATATAGAACAAGGTCACTGGCAGCCTCTAATGAGACCATCTTCTTAATACAAGTCTAATTATTTCTTGATGGAACAGTCTGTGATAATAATCACCATGCTTTTATATGGAAAAGAAAGAGAGAGTGCAGGAATTGAATTAATAAGCAGCTCAGAAATGTCACAGAAACAAAATCAGGTAATTTAGATATATTTGTTGATTTCCTGTCCACTAAACAATAGAAAACATTTTCACATGCTATTTTATGTCATTCATTACTTAAACAGCCTGATGTTATTGTTGTCGGCTTAGCTGTACAAGCAGAAACTCAAGAGAAAGTGCTTGATTTTTTTCTTGATATTAAGAAACATAAAGGAGGAACCAAGAGAAACAATCAAGCTGATGATACGTCCTCAAACAACTCTTTTTTTGACAAAGATGCTGAGGTTTTAGATTCTTTCTGCAGTCTAGGATTCAAAATGATTTTCAGTTGAAAGCAAGAGTAATAATGTGCTGGTTAGCTCCATTTATTTAATTGTTTTGTAGTTCTATCTAACCTTATGTGACTGGATACTGTTACTGAAAGTCTGTCTTTCATCAAGCCTATGTGCCAAGCCATTGTTACTTGAAGTACATATATCTTTACTAAGGGAAAAGAGCCCAAAAATACAAATAAAACCTGTGTGAATTAGAACATGAATGGTGGTGGTTTTTTTTTTCCAGGATCCTCTATGTTAGTCCTCTGATAAGTCTGCCCAATAGCATGAAAAGAGTAGTTGCAGTAGTTGCACTGCAACTTTAGGTTTCATATTCTTCATCAAACAATTCAAATGAAGGTAGAGATAGGAATTAATTAACCAAATACTGAATATCTTGGGCCCACTATTCTTACCTGGTAATAAACTGTAATTTATAGAGTTAAAATTAAGGCATGGAAGCAAAGTTTTGTATTGCCAAAGATCTATAACATGTTGCTACTACTTCATAATTTGAAGCAGAACTCCAGGAATGTATTTTAATGTTTTACTTTAAAGAAGTCTTATTTCAAGTAAGCTGAGGTTGTGACTGCTCCTTTGCTGACTTGCACTTTCAATTGTATTACATTATTTGCATTACACTAAAACATTTTGGACAATAATAGAAAAAAATATTTTTCTTCTGGGAGCCTCAGGGATGTCATATCTGTGCTCATGAGATTTGTCAAAAAGCAAAATATTTAAGTAAGCATATTAAGTATTAGCAGCTTAAAGAAACACTTCTGACATTATACAGTGAAATATCTCAGTGAAGTAAGATACATACGTGTTTCTGTTAGCCATCAAATTTGCTTTCAAAACTAATAAGATGTTCCAGGAAGCATGTTAATTAGACAAGCTTCTAGGAATGCAAGAAAAGTATATTTTGAGTTTTATTGGGATTTTCATAGTTCAAATAAATACATTGCTACTGCTTTTTGGATCTCTGTACATGAGAGATAATTTTATTCCGTGCATGTCAATGTACCTGGCCCTAACTTGCCAGACATGGAATGCATCATCTGAAATGCACACCTGCCTCATTATATACTTACTAAATAATCTGCTGCACATATTTAGCAGATGGACCTGCAAGCCATGGGACTGTGCATGCCAGGGTTATACAAAGGTAGCGGTACCATGCAAAATAGTAGTGAAAGTGTCTGTTTTTCCCTCTAAGATCTACTCAGAACTACATTTTCTAATATTAGTGATAAAATCTGGGTTTATTCCTTTTATCCTCACAATTTAAAGCAGTTTAGTTGTGATGGTTTATGGATATTAGGAATGTGACAGAAGTAGATTATTTTCCTGTTTACACATCACCAAGACTATTAAATTACTTGTCACTGATAGGAAAATTTGTTGAAGGAAACAGCATTGAGCTGATATTTTTTAGGCCTATTTGCATGATGATGGGCTTATAAAATGTAAGCAGTGGACTGTCTTTGCTAAATTAATGACACATGGAAGAAAACTGTGTATTTCAGAGCTAGTCTGTAATATAACTATTGTTATGTAAATTGAAACAAATTCATGTACAAGTCCTTGTTATAAAAATGCATTGCCTCTTTCGTTGACTTCTAATACTTCTGCTGAAAATATGAACCTTTCCAAGGAGGTATATAAAGTCACTTACCTGACTCCAGCTTTGCTTTAATGTGGTCTCAACCACCTGGAAGGCAGGATCTTAGACTGCAACAGCAGACTCCTCCATTCTAGACAGAACCAGGTCTGTGAGCCCTGTTGTGAACTCTGCCATTTTTCAATTGCAGTAGGTTTCTCATGCCTTAAAATTTGACAAGAGCCGTGCTCAGCCTTTTGGCAGAAAAGGCCAAGGAGCCTCCTTGGAATGAGCTGATTGCTATACATACCTCTGTCGGTCTTGACCTAACACAAATGCATGTGCTTGTTTCATGCCTAGCTGTGTCATGGCTTGTCATCTTATTATGGCTCCCTGGGAAGGGGGTGGCTATGAGTAGTCTGCAAGCTGCTAGAGCAAGTCAGCAGCATTATCAGCTGCTTCCAGATGCCAGTGTTTTTGGGAAAGAGGACCGCAGAGAGTGGGTCACAGGCTAATTGAAGTGGTCTGGGTGATCAACTTCCTCTTTGAGATACCTGAAACAAAAAGAGTGATTGGTCAAGGGAAATCATCCCTGAAACCACTGGTTGTTTTAAGTGTCTTTGGCACTAATTTTGAAAACTGTTGATCTTCTAAAAGTTGCAAGTAGCAGCAGCAAGTGGCCAGTACGATATTGCCCATAATGATAGTGTTGTGGGTCACGGGGAGAACAGGTACGGCAGAAAAGTGATGAAAAGTTCACTTTTGCGAAGATGCAGTGGGTAGGAGGTCATGCTTCTGGGAATGGAAACATGAGGCTGTGTCCCACGCAGCACTTGCTGTGGCATATCTCCTCCAGTAGCCTTCACCGAAGACAGTACTCCAGCCAGCATGAGCATTACTTACAGTAACATTTCACTTCCCTCATGAGCTATAGCAACTCCCCCCGTTGCCTCCTCTTCTTTTAGCTTTTCTTCATCCACATGCCCTAAGATTCATCTGCTGGCCGCTATGGCCTCTCACAGTCAAAAGCCCTCCTCGCTGTGAGCAGGGCTGTCCCGCTCAGGCAAAATACGCCGAGACCCCAAGGCAGCTGCTCTGTGAGTCTGCTCCCAACCTAGCAGTGATATAGCGATGGTGTGGCATTCGTTTCCCCTACTTAGCTCCTCCAAGGTGAGTTCTTTGTTGTTATATCTCCATAATTATTTCCTTCTCTGTCAGTAGGGAGGTACATGCTGCCCCAAACACTGCAGGAGGAGTTGTGCATTGCCTTCTGCTGCCGTATGCCTGGTGCTTGTGAAAAACCCAGAACAGGGAGAGGGAGGGCAGGAAAAAGACCCAAAAGTGTGTTCCTTCAACACCTCCTGCTTGACACTTGAGCCCTGGTTTTACGATGGTCAAGTGTCACTGGGGACCAAGTTACAGGGTGACTTGAACTCTATATTTAGGAAGAACAACTGGAAGCTATGACAGGAATTCCCTTTTACACTTCACTTCTCAGCTGAGTCCCACTCCAGGCTGGAGCAGCTCTCAGTGCCATCCCGGCTGAAAGCATCGGAGCTATTTCAGACACATTAAAAGGATCACAGTCCTCAGCTGGTAGAAGAAGGTACCTCTTTCAGCATCGAAGGGAGGTCCACATATTCACTTGACGGTTTGGAGCTTTTCTTATATAAGTAAATAAGTGAGCTAATCTTGAAGGGGTCAATTAAAAACCTTGAGGACCCTTACAAAAACTCTTAAATAACTGCTGTGAGGTGACTGCAATAGTTGTGGGTTTCTGCTTATTTTCGTGTCTCGTGCAGTGTTATCAGCGTATTCAGAGCATATTGTCACAGCTTTATAGTCTGTGGGGATCTTTAAAGATTTTAAACTGAAAGTCACTTAAATACCTAATGACTCATAAGAAGTGTAACTGCATATTAGCTCAAATACTGTAGTACATAGGCACATGCTTATTGTTTTCTATATGTTTGTTTTACCTGGTTAAATATTACATGGGGGTTTAAATGGTAAGAGAGGTGTCCTGTCACTGTAAACTTAACTGTAGTGGAGACAGCTGCATTACAGAAAATGTGACTGCATTTGCCTATAGCATGTAGTAAGTTTTTGTGTAACAGGCTGGGAGCTGCAAAGTGGGGGGTTTTCTTCTTTCTTTGTACTAGCTGGTCTCACAGTAGTGTGGTTCCAGTCAAAGCCTTTTATTAAGATAATACACTGCAGTTCTGTGTCCAAAATATCCATTGTGCTTGACGCTGTGAGTGTGGCAGGGGAGAAGGACAGCTTCCAGCTGGGGCAGGGGGAGGGCTCTTTCTGTTGTCTGTGTGCTACTGTACATCTCTTGTGCGGATTACAAAAGATGGCATTATGATGCCTCATCATATTTAAAGCAAATTGAATAAGTCAGCTTATTATCTTGCTGCAGCCCTGTCAGAAATTATTTTTAGCAGAGGGACAGAAGATAGGTCCTTTGTTTTATGAAGTTTCCTTTCAAAACACTGATTTATTTCACTGTAGTAGTCCTGTATTTCGCAAGTAGTCCCGTTCATGAGTACTTCACTGTGAAGCAAGGGAATTTGCAGGGCAAGTCTGGCATAAAGCAGCTCCAAATTGAACTAACGTTGCCGTTGCTCTCTAAATCTGGCTCAGCATGCAGCCCATACAAGGTAAAAGGTAAGGTGTGGGGAGGCCAGAAAGACGCTGGGGAATACAGTCTGCGTTTCTCTGGCTGCATGCATGCAAAATCCTGCCATGGAAGTCAAGGTGAAGAGTGTTTTTTTCAAGTTTGCAGAGCTGATTGGAATGCCAGAAATAACTTAATGCAATCAGTGCAGCACCCTTGACTATCTCTCTAGGACGTGTGGCGAAAGAATTTGTAAAAATGAACTAATCAATTCATTAATAGATGCATCTGTAATCTAAGCTTTATTTTCCTGTGCTGATGGTCAGTATTGCTCTGGAGAGAAACTCAGGGAAGGGAGGGAAAGGGAGACAACCAGAGAAGATTGTCTATTTTTACTCAGTAGTGTGCTGTTGTCCTGATTTCTGTGGCGGTAATGAGGACAGCATGAACTGGAAGGAAAATCACCTCCTCCAAAAGCAGTCCTACACAATTGTATCATGCATCCGTCTTTAGGAACTGGTGTCTGATTGCAGGCATTTTGAATGCAAACTTCTTGTGAGCCAGAGCACCTCACTGAGAAGTGCTATCACTGTACTTGTTTTAAAGTTGAGATTCAGTGTAAATCCTTGCCTGTTTAGTTGTAGATGGCCCAAGAAGTGTATCAGAGTTTTTACAGTGCACAGGCACGCAAGATGGAAAGTACATCCTAGCATGAATTTCTCCGTGAGAGTGGTTAGAAAGTAGATCCGTGGTGTTTAAAAATGTTTTATGTTAATTTCCTGTGCTTTTGTTTACATTTTTCACCCTGATTAGAAAGAGGAGAAGATGATAAGAAAAATTAATTAAACTTTTCTGGTTTATGAGTCCTATCTTTCCAATAAACCAAGGGACTGTTTTGAATTTTTCTTTGGAATACAACCACAGGTTAACAGCACACTTATTTGTCTGTATAGCAGAGACCTTCAAAAAGGAAAGGGAGAAAGTGCAGTAAATCCTTTTGGCTTTTTGAAATCTGTGCAAATTTTGTCATGAACTTCAGTGGTCAAGATTTCATCCCCCAAAGTGAATTCTGAAGTTTTTAAAACTGCCACTGATTTTAAGATTGCAAATGTAAATATAGAACCACAACATAAAACTCACTGGAAGCATGCTGGCTTTATGTTGCACAGTGGGATTTTTTTCTCATTAATTTAGTGGAAGCAATTGAAATCTGAAGCAATTTAAACCCAAAGAAACTTAGAAAGTTGACGTCCTCTAATGCTGTGTTGGTTTGGACAGCACTCTTCACAGCTGAGACAGTGATCAAAGGGAGACCTCTAATGGCAGGTCATTTTTACTTTTAAAGTCTGCTGAGCATTATACACAGATCTGAAGCTGAATTGAGAATATGCAAGAGCGAGTCTTCCATGCAACTCCAGTGATGGTAGGCTGATATTTATATTTCAAGCTGATATTCCAACCTGAAGCCAACCTGCAACTCATCGATACTTTTCTCCGGTATCCACTTGACAGTTATACTCTTTGGAGTACCAAAGCCTTTGACCCACTTTTGATTTCTCTGTATATTTGTACTGTCTCTCCTACATAATTTATTACTTTTTTTCAGTATTTTCCTTCTCATCTCAGGTTAATTATAGTAGGAAAAATATGCTGTGGTTTGGTTGTGTTCAATGAGTTCTCTGGTGAGCTTGTTTCTCACTTTTTAGTATCACCATCTTATTTTGTCTTATAATGGTAAATAACCAGACTTTGATGAAGGTCCAGTCTAGTTAAGATCCTGATGCTCAATGAAGGAATAAAAGGATGAAATACCGTTTCAATTAATAAGATTTCTTTTACAGTCTTTAGACTTTGATGTCTTTCCCTTTGTTATGGCATATTAATACTATATTAGTCCATATTTCTCAACTTGCATAAAACTGTATGGAAAGCTCTGTTCTTTTTTATCTTGTTGCTAAAGAAAACTGATGAATCTACATGATCTAAAACTTTGAAGAGAGGCTGCTTCCTGCCCTAGCAATTGTCAAAGAGAATTTTATAGTTTGTCCATTTTGATCATTTTCAGTCTGTACTGAAATTAAAGGTTTGCAAGGATGTGCGAGTCAGAAAATGGTTATGATGTTGGTGTTTATCAATGTTTTGTACAGCAAATTAGCTTTATTTGAAAGAAGTTTTAAACTGAGAATTCTAATAATTCCCACATACATACTGTGACAGAGATAATCATACATTGTTTATGCTCAGATGTTTCCCATAATTCTTACTCATTTTACAATGCAAGGTTGCATTTTACAAATACAGGTTTTGAGAGATTCCTTATCTTCACTCTTTATTGTTTTTAATGTGAAAGAGAGAGCTTCATTTGTGGCTATGAAAGATTAATTGGAGAAGCTCAGGTATTCCATCTCCTGATACTCAGAAGGAATATCTAAGCAACTGTGAAACTGAGATGGAAACAGGAGCTGGGCAGATGAAATGGATGCCTGTCAAGAGGCAGCATGGGTTAAGTTCTAGCTTATCTCCCTTAGCTATCAGAATGTCAGAGCCTGTAACACTTTCTCATTTTGCTTGCAGGGATAAGCCTCTGTCTTAAAAATGTCAAAACAGCCAGCGTCACATGTCAGAGCCATTCAGGTAAGAGACAGTATTTATGTTTCTAACATAATCAAATAATAAATCTCAACCTCCATTGCTTGGCAAACTGCATTTTTGCTCAAACAAAATGCCACAGAAGTGCTAACTGGGGATTATTCTTTTAAAGCGAAAAGCTTAGTGGACATGAAAGCACTGAAAAAGTTTAACCTGAAGAGCATCTTATGATCTGAGCTGATAAAAACCAGGATCAGAGGATCAGATAGGTTGGTTGATCACTTGTTTGCATGGTCTTTCCAGTGTTAGGTTATGCCTGTTGGTGGATCAGCTAAGCAAAACATGGTGATGCATCTGATCAGCAGCATGAGTAAAACTAATTTTTGCAACTCTCAGATTTTCCACAGAATTAATACAATGCTGGAAAAATTACAGGCTAAAAAGTTAGCATAGAAATTGTGAAGTCTTCCACATCTGCATTCCTTTAGGAAAAAATCCACAACTTCCAATGTATATTTAAACAGCATTTTATTTAAAAACCAAGTAAAATGAGAGAAATGTTGATATTTTCATTTTAAAAATTCTTGTCTGTCACATACCTCTTCAAATGGCATGTGCTCATATGGATGAAGTTGGTTGTTGTACACTTGTAAAAGAAAAAGCTGAAGAATTATCCCAATGAAGCAGCATCATGAAGAATGTATTTAGTTCATTAGCTATCATGAGCTCATTTAGCTCATACTATCATTGATTATTGTCAAAAGGCCAAAATACCTCCTGAACTGTAGAATTTTCATGTATTTTGTAAAATGCAGTGAAATTTTACCATGAGTTCAGGTTCCTTGAAATTATGCAAGAAACAAAATTGAATGTCTAAAGTCTGATCTCTCCCCTGTTTCCTCAGGATAATACTGACTCAATGGATTGGAGTATCAAGAAGTTTAATTATGCAGTGGCTAGACAGCATACTGAAATTGTGAGACACTAAAAATGCTAGTTTTCATTATCAACGTCAACTCTGCTGGAACAGGCATGCAAACTACTGTACTCTAATTGGGTTGAAATTAGCAGAAGTTTGCCATTGATTTCACTCAGTTCAAATTTTCATCCCTCTTTTAGAATGACTGTGGAAGTGTTTTCTGTTTAATGAAAAAATGTAATCAATAGGTCAAAATTATTTGCATTTTACATCTGAACTCCATAGTCACATACAAAGATTTTTAAGCAATTAATTTGGTTTACTTTTTTCCTTAAGGTAAAAGGTAGTTATAGTCTCTCCTTTTTATTTTTATGATGACTTTTTGACTTCTTAATATAAAAATACCTTCTAGTTTGTCCATTTAAAAAGATGCATTAAGTTTAATATTTTAAGAAACTTTTTTTTTTCACAAGGGTAATTTGAATAATGAGAAAAATTACAGCACAAATTTTAAAATAAATCTATTAAACATTGTGTCAAAGGTGGCTCCAGCAGGGAGACTTGCCCTGGAATTGAAGCCCCTTACATTTTGAGCACTGTAAGAATCACGATTCAAAACATAACATTACTTTTATACAATCTGATTTATACATTATGACCCTTTGCTATTATGTGCTATTATAGTAGGACCAACATCCCCTGGAGAATATACATCATGCTGAAGTGATGGAAATGTAATGACACTTACTGACTGAAGTATTTCATGGTACTCAATGTCAGAATTGACTTCTTTCCAACTGTATGAGGTATATGCTAAAATCTTCACTTGCCAAGAGCCACTGTATACAGATGTGGGAGAGATAAAGATAGCAACTGGTTCCCAAGATTAGTTTGGGGCAATAGAGGATCAAAGTACTGCTAACTCCTGGTAACATTGTTGGCCTCTCCCTCTCAGTGTATAAAAGGCTGTGTACAGCTCTGGCTGAAAATCATTCTACCTCCAAACACCACTCTTGGCTTTCCCCAGTGTAGGGGTGGGTGGTCTCCTATTTTCATTTTTTCTGAATTAAAGTAAGTTTTCTCTCCTTTATTATTATTTTTTAAAAATCAAATATGTTTATACTGAAGTGGCTTTCCAGCTTATTTAATCATCCTTCTGGACAGCTAGGAATGGCTGTGATGCCTTGAAGAATTTATCCGTAAAAGTCCTCAACTCCTGCATGGTTGCATAACTTGTATCCTAATCTGGATATCCTGTTTCTACTTCTACTAAACAGAAAGAAGAACGCAAACAAATGTCTAAATACCAGTTTAATCAAGTCAAACCAACAATAAATGTTGTGTATCGTGCTTACAGATATTTTTCCTTCGGTCTGTTCAGGAAGACATTAATGGAGTATATCATTACAAATACCAATGAAAACTGCAATGACATCCAAAGTATGGTAGGCACTTTCCAAAAAGAATGACAGATGAAGTCCCAATAGTTTTAATAATTAGTATGATTAAAAATACTAACCACACCTAGAATGTCTGTCTAATGCAATTATAATTTAGGATTTCAGGAGTCTGGAACAAAAAAAATTTCCTGTTTCCCTTTTTACCGGATGGGGAGCAAGCAAGGCAGGTGAGCTCACTAAGGCTCGTATCTCCATCCCAGCAGATAGGTGACAAAAGCCTTGAAACATATTTTAAAAACAAAATTGCAAACTTGTGCTGATTGCAGCCCAACACAGTCCTTGCAGAGCTACCCTGGCTTACAGAAGGTGATCTACCCATTACATGGCTGCTTGTCTGTGGGAAGGGTCCAACACTATATTAGGAGATTTATAGCTGAGGACTTTGGTACCTCTGGTCAGGAGCTGTTTGGAAATCAGTCATACTTTCATTTCAAACTAGAAATATTTTAACGTATAGTCTGTGTTATCAGATCCAGACAGAGTTAAATGCTGTCTTAAAGGCTGCTTGTTTAACCAAGTTAATATTTCAGGTCACATCTTGTCCATACTCTGATGTGAATGCACTTATTGCAGATAACATAGTACAAACTGTGTGACACAGATTACTGTGAAAATGCTGAAGCAGACCAAAGAGCAGTTTATTTAATTTAATTAGCAGTCTGGCACTTAGTGGTTTGTTTTTTTTTATTTCCTGAAGCATTTTTAGTCACAGTTGGTCTGTCAATCATAGCAGGAAATGAAAGGGCTGGATATCAGAATAACCATGCTGTGGTATGCCCTAGGTGGCCATGGGAGGCAGGCTTCTGCTTTGACTCCAAGGGGAAAGAATGCCTGAGTTCAAAATGCACGCCGAGAGAAAACTCTTAATGTTTCACCTCTGTGAGCTTGTATGTCTACACTAGCTGTAAAGTGCAGAGGCGTTTCATTTCCAAAAACAGAACCTGCCTGGAGGTAACAGAGCCTGGTGGGGGAGATGCTTAAAATTAAAAATAGCAAAGGTATTTTCATAAATGAAATAATGGGTTAAGTACTGTGAGGCAAAAAATGCCCTGTCTCCTAGGAACTTAGGAGGTGTAGGTGAAAGGTTTCACAGTATCTAAACTAAAGCTCAATGAAAAAAGCCTTATGAAATGAATGCCCAATTGTCTATAAACTACATGGCCCTACAGACATTTGCCAGCCCCACTGAAATGGCAGCATCACCTTGCATAAATAAAATAATGGTAAACAGCTGAGTAGAATACAGGGAAAGGTGTTTATTTCTTGGCAAATTGATTCTTAATTTCCTTGATATTTGATTGCAACTGTGTGAACAGTTGTTGCTGAAAACAGTGGGCTGTTTTCCTGTGCCTGCCCAACCTGGAGCACAATCTGCAGGACCACTATTTGAGCAGAAGGATGGGATTATTCATCTTCATTTAATGCAAATCATTCAGATGGTAAACTACAGTCAAACAGCTCTGCTTCTGCTCCATAACATTACTGATTCAACCCCTGGTTTTACCAGTGGGAGTCATGATATTTTGATGACATTTCCTAGGACCAGCTTCTCTTCTGAGATCACAAGATAAGAATTTAGGTATAAATTTTGCACTTAGTCGATCACACCATTTGACTTTTAAAACAAGCCAGTCTGGGTCACATTGGGAAATAGATACATTTTAGCTGCTCTTTCCTAGGCAATGTTTTCTGCCATTCTTTTCCCCAACATCTTTACTTGTAAGGTATCTATTACCAGCCCCATTTATGTTATGGCTACTGACTTTCTGCTACAGATAAAAAATCAGATTGAGGCAATCATGTGGGTATTATTCTGGAGCGAGTTTGCTAAAGCCAGGGGTAGGGGTCTATCCGGTGCTGGAGCTGACTCAGCTTGCTCTGACCTATGGACTCCTGCGCAGGCCAGGCTGGAGTGGCTCAGTGAAACCCAGCAGAGGCTTGAAGGTCAAAAAGCCTTTCTGCCTTTTCTAGCAGAACCTCTTTGCAACCAAGAGGCATAGCTGTAGGACTAAGGCATTACATTTGCAGCACCTGTGGGTAAATTTTGTCGGTAAAAATAACATTTTAAACACGGTGGCTTAAGTTGGCTCAGGGCAGGCTTTCCTTCCTAACGAGCTGGGATTGAATGAGGTGAGAACTGGTGTCACTGGGGGAGGGAGAGTGGTCCAGTGGTTGGGGCCTTATTGTAGGATTTGGGTCATGTACACTTAGGTGCTGACTATGGCACTCACTTTCTGTTTGACCTTGACCAAACTGAAGCAGACCCAGATGTCTAAAGACACTTTGGTGTTTAGTATTCATTTGTTTCAAGTCCGGTGAAATCAGGGAGCTTTAGAATAAAATGCAGAATTCCAAAAGCTTACTAGATAACTTTGTTTTTTCACTTTCCATCTTTAAAATGGAGATAAAAGCCCTTCCCTTTCCTATGGGAGTGGTGTGATGTATGCATACAATGAAGGCGTAAGTGCTTGGAAACCGATAATGTCCATACACTTGTCCCACCCCTTTGGAATTTTGCCTTTTACCAGCTGTATGTTTATTTATCAGTCACTATTTTATGCGTCATAATTTCCCTCTCACAGGCTAATATTAACATCCCAATGGGAGCATTTCGACCTGGTGCAGGCCACCCTCATAAAAGAAAAGAACTTACACCTGAAGAAGTGGAAGAGGTAAGAAAAAAGGGGGGTTTTTTTTTTTTTTATTCCCTCAGGAGAATCCCTGCCATTGATGGAAGACAGTCTTTTAATCAATCTTACAGAGCTTTATACGAATCTTAGGTACCACAGCTGAACATGCAATGGTCATTCATGGAAATAAATGGCCATCTACTAAACACTTCATCCATACATAGTTCTGGTTTTGATGCCAAGGCATCTACAGGAATTTAAACTGTTTCCAAGGCACGTAGCTCGGCTTCAACAGCATGATATCTGCTGTCAGGAAAGAGAGCCAGGATTTCACTAGCACTATTTATCTAGATGGGAGTTGATGGATACAGCAGGAAAAGTTATAGCAAGGCTTTGGAAGAATATGCTACTACCTGTTGCCCAATAGTGTGAATTATTGTTACAGCTTAACAATATTGAAACAGGTTTTAAAACCTGACACTTTTTGGAATATTTATCAATGAGAACAAATTGAATGTGAAGACACTTGCAAATTAAAAACAGAAATTGTGAACCCATTTATCTGCATACGGGTGGAAATACTCAATTTTATATTGAATTCTCTATTTTCATGCTTATGTTTTACAGGGAGTATCTAACACTTGACTTTTGAATAAAAAATCCAATTTATACCTTAACCAACATTGATCACAAAGATTATGATTAATCACAAATATCATATTTCTGGATGATATTAAACCATGTTATTTACCAAGAACTTTTATAATAAATGAGAAATAAAACCAGTGGTGGAGGAAAAAGTAGTGGTAGATACTCCAAACAAAATAAAACCAACAAGTCAAGTAAAGATGGGTGTTTATGGCTTCCTGGCCAGTTGGCTTAGTTTGAATATAAAATCACCAGCCAAGAGCAGGTACTGCTGGGCTGATGCTCTTCAGAGCCAATGGGAGGGAAGACTCGAAGCAACCTGATACAGGCAGACTGCCTCTGGCAGGACTCAGCCAGATGGACTTGCTGGCGTATAGGTGAACCAAATCTGTCGTGGCTGGAGGGGGTCTTGCCCTCATGCAGAGCAGAGCCGTGATGATCAGAAGGGAGTGGGTAGCCACTTTTCTCCAGGCATGCAATAGGGCTGAAGGTGATTCAACCCCAAACAAGAAGCAGCCAGGTTAGTTTTGTACAAATCAACAGCTCCTGACCTGGTATAGGCACTTAAAACAGTCAGTGTCAGTTGTGTAAGAGCTAATTCTTTTCTGTCCAAATCAGACAGACTTTTGTCTGAATTTCAATATAGTGGTCTGTTTACAGAGAACTTCCCTGAAGAACTCAAGCCCAGGTTGACTTAAGTCTTGTTAAGAAGATATTAAACATACTCAAAACTCAAACATGCAAAGCCATCTTGAGCACATATTGTGGCTTTCTCCCCTGGAAAGAAGTAAAAGCATATTCTCTCTGCAGTAATTAAACTGGTGAAGGAATGCATGTTATTAAGCAGAAACTAATATAGCATGTGTGAATTCTAGTAGAGTTTGAGAAATAAAATAAATGAACAGTGCTGATAATTAGATTTGGTTGGGTAATGAATATTGCTTTGCTTCTCAGTTATGTGGATACTATATATGAGACAGACATTACAGAATGAAAGTTCTTGGCCCCAGTTTTATAGCCAATATGCAACCAGACCAATGGGAGTAAAGACCACAGAAACAGATCTTGTAAGAGGAATAGAATAAAAATGCTACCAGTTGTCTTGTCTTTTCTATTTTCCCATCTTGTTAACTTTTGCAATACAGCTTGTGATTCCTTAGAGCAGCTTTATACAAATACAACTTTTGCTAACAGTGCTTAGCATTTTTTTCACTCCATTTTAAAACCTTGGCAAAGGAGATGAGGGAAATACGAGTCTTACCCAAACGGATGGTGGAGTCAGATGGGAATGTATATTTTTGAAGGTCAAGGGAGTGGACGTGGTAAAGACATGAAATGGGAGAGTGGGAATTTCAGAAAACAACTCTTCTTCAGTCAGAGCATTTCCATGAATGTGTTCATTAACTTTTGTCATATATCTCTTCAGACTTTCTTCAATAAAACCAAAAGCCAAGGTCTGATATCAGCTGAGCATAGCTCATGGAGTGGGTGATACAGGGAAGGGTGCAGTCATAAACAGCACACACATGAGATTAGAAGGGAAAGCTGACATAAGTTTATGGAGTGCAGGATCTATAAAACATTGTCAAAGTTTGCACCGTTTGTACTATGAGAGGAATGGTATTGAAGATAACTTGAATTGTATTTTTAAATAGTATCTGCTGTGTACTAGTAAGAACTAAGGGGCTAGGGGCGTGGTAGTTTTTCCTGATTATTCAGATTAGCTAGCTGTGCGAGAAAGCTATCAAAGAAAACAATACAAGCCCATGGCATATTTGACTACTGATACAATTTTGTGCATCCCTCCAAACACCTTCTGTATCAATTTGCTTATCCTCCTGCTGTGCTTTGCTACTATTTCAGGATGTTAGATCATTAAGCCGACTATTAGACAGTATCTATAGTAGCTGGGGCTGGAGCACTGGCTGAGATTTAAAATGATCAAAAAGAAATAATAGTATAATGTCCTTAATGAGTAGAAGTATTATGGATGTCTTAAAGAGGGACCTTGACAAGCTTGAGAGGTGTGCCTGTGCAAACCTCATGAAATTCAACAAAGCCAAGTGCAAGGTCCTGGACGTGGGTTGGGGCAATCCAAGAATAAATACAGGCTGGGTGGAGAATGACCTGAAAGCTGCCCTAAGGAGAAAAACTTGCAAGTTTTGGTGACAAGAAGCTCAACATGAGCCAGCAGTGTGCACTCGCAGCCCAGAAAGCCTGGTCTGCTTCCTGATTAGCATGTAGTCAGCAGAAAAAAGAGGGGTTTACTGGCCAAAAGTATTTGACAGATAACTTTGGAATTTAAAAAATGAAGTAAGATATTAATAATTGATTGTTCACAGTCAATGCATGTTAGCAAAAAAGGTGGCTAATAAATCTTAATACTGACTTTGGTCCAAAAGCCCATTCCAAGAGAACACAGCAGAGTAATCAAAGAAGAAAAAATAATGTTGTTAAATTATTTGCAGTACAATATTAATTGATTTCCAAACCTACATGATTCCGCCTGCATGCCAGCTTTATAAAATACAGAACAGGCTGGAACAACCTTAAACTCCATACTGGAAATCTATTTCAAAACATTGCTCAGAGTAGAATAGAAATTGTCTAAAATACATGTTCTACCTCACATAAGAGCAATAGTAAAACTAAGGAAGTACCAAGAGCTGAAACACTGTGGTCTCTTGGCAATTACCTGAGATGTTTGTTATTGTGTAAGTGCTGCTATTTAGCTTGTAATTTTACAGTGTCAGCAAAACAGCCATCAGGTACTACCCTAATTCAAGCATAAAATAACAATAACCCTTCCAGTCTTGCAGCTGAGGTTAAGAAAAATTAAACGTCAGTTCAAGCTGAATTGGATGGAGCTTTTGATGCTCATAACCTATTATCATAGCTCCTGTCCAGAGCTGCAGAAGTGTGTGATAGTTTTCCTTCTCAGCTGTCTGGCTGCTATGAGACTCTGAAAGAAATTAGATTATAAAAATGGTTCTTCTGCTTTTTATCCCTAAAATACGGAGGACCTGGAAGTTGCATTTAATGCTCCACCTAGTTAATGTTCTGATAATGGTCTGACACTGTAAATTCTTACTCTTTTACCAAAATATCCACATTCCTCTGCACTGAGCACTTTGTATTTTTATGGATTGTTTTTTTTTTTTCAGAATGTTTTTAGACATTTTAGACAACAACCCACAAAGTAACCTATCGTTTCCTTCCTTACACCCCCCCCAATTTCCATTGGGATTGCATTTAGCATAAAAAAAACCTTTCCTGTTTACCACATAACTGACCTGTGCTCATGCTCAAGAGATTGCTATAGCAGCAGTCAGGTCACTGGTGTCCTTTTGTGCAGAGTGTTCCTGCTTCGACAGAGGAGGAGAAAGACAAGAAACATCTCCCAGGAGCAAAGAAACTTCCAGGTCTTGCTGTCAACTTGTCAGAGATTCAGAACATAAAGAGTGAGCTGAAGTTTGTCCCCAAAGCTGAACAGTAGCTGGAAGAAGCAGGTGAGTAAAAGAGAAGTTCTTTGCATGGCTCTAGGAGAAGCACGCTGATCCAGAAACTTCTTGGTTTCAAAAGATGTCTTTCCAGTCACTGCAAAGGACTGAGAATCACACCCCATATCTCAAAGACAACATATAAGAAGGAAAGGTGGTAATCCTTGGAATTCTCTGTTACGTCAAACATGGAGCATATAGGAGACATATATGTCAACCATCGACCAGCCTAACAAAAAGTGCATTCAGCTATTAGGAATACTGAACCAGCTTAAAAATACTAGCTTCTTACTTCACAAGCACAAGTTTCAGTTTTACAGAATATAGGACTTGTGTTTGTACATTTTAACTACAAATAAATATTTTACAATGCAAATAAATTTATTGCACTGATGGACAACTAGGTCAGTATTTTTAAAAAGCTCCTTTTGAACAGATACTTGGTACTATTTTATTTCTGTAATTCAAAACTGACATGCCAATGGCTCCTCCATGTATTTGATCATGCATATGTACCCGATGCCACCTGTAGCACCCAAGGATTCACTACATATGTATGTGGGGCTCAGAAATATGATACAAGACCCTGGGGAGCTCCTCTAAAGCAGCAGTCAAAGAGAAGATGGGAACCCTCAGGCGCTGCTGACAGCAACACACATCTATGGGTTGAGCCACTCATCTATGACTAGCACCACAGCTCATAGTTCATCTTATTTTGCTCTATGTCCAGATGGAGATCAGTGGCAAGTGGTGTCACTGAGGGGTCTGTACTGGGACCAGCACCGTTTAATATCTTCATCAATGACACAGACAGTGGGATTGAGTGCACCCTCAGCAAGTTTGCAGATGGTATCAAGGGGGATGTCACCACTCATATGGTTGACAAAACCACTGATACAATTGATACACCTAAGGGAAGGGATGCCATTGAGAGGGACCTGGACAAGCTCAAGAAGTGGGTCCATGTGAACCTCATGAGATTCAACAAAGCCAAGTGTAAGATCCTGCACATGGGGTGGGAAAATGCTCTGGTATCAATATAGGCAGGGGGATAAAGGGATTGAAAGTAACCCTATGGAGAAGGACCTGGGATGCTGGTGGATGGAAAGATGGGCATGAGCTGGCAGTGTGTGCTTACAGCCCAGAAAGCCAGTCGTATCCTGGGCTGCATCTAAAAGAGCACGGCTTCAGCTCAAGAGAGGAGATTCTCCTCTACTCTGGTGAGACCGCACCTGCAGTACTGCGTTCAGTTCTGAGGCCCCCAGGAGGGATGTAGACTTGTTGCAGTACGTCCAGAGGAGGGCCATGAGGATGATCAGAGGGCTGGAGCACCTCTCCCATGAAGACAGTCTGAGAGCTGGGCTTTTTCAGCCTGGAGAAGTGAAGGCTTCTGGGACACCTTATAGGAGCTTCTAGCACCTAAAGGGGGTGTATAAAAAAATGGGTACAGACCTTTTAATAGATCCTGTAGCAATAGGACAAGGGAGTAGATTAGACTAGGTACAATGACAAAACTTTTAGAGTGAAAGGCATGAAGCACTGGTGCATATTGCCCAGAGGTGTGGGTGCCCCATCCCTGGAAACATTCAAGGTCAGGCTGGGGTCTCTGAGCAGTCTGATCTACTTGAAGAAGTCTCTGCTCATTGCAGAGAGGGAGGACTGGATGACCTTTAAAGGTCTCTTCCAACCAAACCACTCTATGATTCTATGATTATTTTATTTAACAGGAAATATTTAGCACTTCTGAATGGAGATTTCAGAATAATTTTCGTCTGATTTCAAAAAAAGACCATAAAACTATATTGCTCTATGTTCTGAGCCTTAAGGAAATTAGTGATCATTTCTGCCCATGAAATTAACCTCTGATTTTCTTTGAAAAGCGTGAGTCAGTAAAGTTGCATCAGGCAGCTACAATGAAAATTCAGATGTACGGAGAAGTTTCAATAAAGAAACATACCTGGCTACAATTAGAAGACAGTTGTGTCATATACTAGTCACTTGAATTGCCAATTCTGCCTATTGACACAAGTACCTTTTATTGTGAAAACAGGCAGAGGAGCTAGGCTGAGCAGAACACCACCTGGAATTTACTGTGCAGAAACATAAACGAAGAACAAAAGAAAACAGAAAGCAGTGCAAAAAAGTTCTTGGAACACAGAAGAAAGAAATAGCATATAATCTGAGTGAATTACCCCAATACACACTGCAACATTTACTTATTTCTTATGTACAGCATAAATATGCCATTTAGAAGGAGAAAGTGCTTCATTTTTCTTGCTTCTATCCTTCTGTGTCATAGTGTTCCTGTTATTTTAAAGAAACATTGCAGTCTTTCTTTCCAGAAAACTCGGGATACGGAAAATTAACATTTTTAAATACGAATTTTTAATATGGGGCTTTAAAGAGGTTTCTCTCTGTAAGAGAAATTTAGACATATGTTTAGCACCGTATTTGTTCTCTGATGATTGCTATTTTAAAGTTTAAATCAGGTATTTAGTAATTACCTTACTGAGATCCTGACAGAAACATGTAGGGTGTGCACAGAGGCTCACTCTAAAGGGAAGATTTTTACAGAATGGTCAGCAAAGTAAAGGGCATCTTAACAGCTGTGAGATCATTATGTCTCCATCCTTCTTTTAGTGTTGTATTGGTCATCAGGTCCTGACAGTGACACAGTCTCTAGATTTTTAATAGTATAGTCACAGATCATACCAAAAAACTTAGTTTGTGGAAGATTTACGGGCACAGTACTCACTGGAGACTAGGAGTTTGGCTTTGGTTGCAGTGTAAGCCCTAAGTACGTGCATAAATTCTACAAAAAAATTAGTTGTAAATCAATCACTTGCCACATCCACAGCCTTGAATGGTGCTAAATCTGAAGATTTTCCCCTGTAAAGGACATTCATCAGTTCAGTTGTTCTAGGCATGACCTGCAGCCTTGTAGGAAATCTGATTTAGTCAGTGAATTGTTTTATGACTGATCATGCCAAGCCAGTGAAGGTTATTTTTATTTACAAGAAATCCATGCTCACATCTGCCTGATAATTTGCTTCACCTCCAAGATGGGGTAACTAACCACCATTTGGATGTGATGCTTTCTGAAGAATGGTTAACTAACTGGTCAATGTAATATGCCTGTGCAGAGAGCATGCAGATAAATGAGAGTGTTGTTTAGTTTTCACAGTTTGGAAATTAATTCTCTCTCACATCAGTACAATAAACTTATCAGATATTAACTCTTGAGGGATTTCCCTTTGATAGTATTCTTATATTTCTGGTGGTATTCTGTAGGATATACCCAGTATTGACATTTTTCATTGGATATTTTCAGTAAAGTGCAAGTCAAAATGGTGAATTTTGGTTTAATTTTGATCCATTTTATCTTGCTTGGCATTACAGACCGCAAACTGATTATCAAAAATAAGGAGACTGCAAAACAGTAGATTAGGTCATTATTTGCAAACCCATTCCCACATACACATTTACACTTTAGAGTAACTTCTGTTAAATATCTTTGATCTTGCTCTTTCACTAAATTTGGACACATGAATAGAATTGCTAAGATTGTAGTTGTGAGTCTAAGGATTTGTGGGAGGGATAGAATTAGTAAGATGTCATGAAGCTGGATTCACTGGAGGTCATCAAGTGCTTATCAGTTAAGGTATTCCTGTAGTCATCTCCTGCTTCTGGTCTATCATCTATAATTAACTAATTAGTATACTCTTGTTTGTCATAAAGATATTTTTTTTCTTCCATAGACCTGTAGTTGATGTGTTTGATGCAGCTATTTTTAATATACAATGTAAGTTGTGATTAATTTTCCTTTTCTCCGTCTATGTTTTTTTTGTGCTGCTCCTTTTGTATATGCACATGAGCAAAACATAGCAAAATAAAATAGTAACAAAATAGCATACACTAATCAGCTAACTATAAGTTCTATTGGATAAGTAATGGTAGGAAGCATTTAATTTGTGACAAATGGAGCTTGCTATGGCTATTTACTGCTGATTGTTGTGATATCTTATGTGATAAATAGTATGGTGATTGTACCTGGGCCAGAGCACAAACTGGCATTTCACCTGAGAATATGTGTAATTGTAGCCAGTTACTGCTGCAGCTCATGTTTGCTCTTCATTCTGTACCCCTGGCATTTTGTGCCTTGAAATGTGGGGGTTGTGCAACAAGACATTTTGTGAGCTCTTGAAACAACCCCACTGTTTTAAGAAAATTTGTTCATTTGCTTAAGCCCAAGTACCCAGCCCTCGTGTGAGAGAAGGGAATCCTGCATGCAGAGGATACCAAGGGAGATCAGGAGCTCAGATCTCCTTAGCTGGAGTGGGAAAAATGGGATGAAGAAGGAGGATGTGCTGCAAGAATTTCTGCAGAACCCTGTGCCAAAGTCAGAGGAAGCTTGGGGCGATCTCACCAATGTACATAAGTTCCTGAAGGGAGGGTGCAGAAAGGGCAGTTCCAGGCTTTCCTCAGTGGTGCCTAGTGACCTGAGGCCATCCCCAGCTCCGCTCACTGTTTGGCCTGTGTTAATTTCAAAGTACTTGAGTTTTTCTGACCTTGGTTTCCTACCATCCTGCTACCTTTGGTTCAGAACTCCTAGATTAGCAGCACTTGGGGATTTCATGGCCAACCATCAATCTTGCTGGGCACTTCTGTTTCTGTCCTAAGAAACTTGATGGTTGAGAGGTTTAGGATTTTTTAACAGTGTGTTTAAGTTCTTTTGGTTTACCTTTCAGGTTTGTTGAGTCTACTTATGTCATGCTTTCAGACTTTAAAACAGAAGAGCTAGAAAATTATTTTCAAAGAGAAAACTGGAATCTCCAGGACACAATATCAGAGGAATCTTTGGAATAATGTTATCTCCTCTGGCAAAAAAAAAAGTTACTCATGTTTTGTTTCCCACAGTTTGTATGTTCAGAAGTATAAATTTAGTTCACTGTCTCTAACATGGCCTGCAACTGTCCATTGCAAACTAAGAGCCTCTTCTCTGCCACTGA